TTTAAAAATACAGTATTTTCTGGCATATAAAATGACTTTTTAACCCTGGAAAATCTTCTCCAAAGTCGGGGGTCGTCTTATACGCCGGGTATAGGGTCTATATAGCTGCGCCCCCATCGCCGGCCCTTCTAATGCTGCAGCCACCTGAGTGCTCTATAGAGAGCGCTCAGACAGCTGCCGCACTGCCTCTCTTCTCACCTCCCCTTCCCTGTGCAGAGTGGGTGGCCGAGCTCCTCTTCGTCCTGTCAGTCCTGAGTGCTCACTTCCTTTCAGTCCGGCCGGGAACAGGTAACTGAATCTCCTGTTCCGCGCTGTACCCGGCCGGACTGACAGGACAAAGAGGAGCTCGGCCACCCACTCTGCACATGGAAGGGGAGGTGAGAAGAACGTAGGGAGGATGGGAGGGAGTAAAAAGAATGGTGGGGGGAGTAAAAAGAATGGGGGAGTAAAAAGAATATATCGCAATTAGCCTCCTGTGTGCTAGACCAGCAGGCATGGATTATATGCCCAAACAGCCTGGCACATACCTGGGCTTTAACCCCTTAAGGACAGATGACGGAAATATTCCGTCATGATTCCCTTTCATTCCAGAAGTTGTGTCCTTAAGGGGTTAAATGCTATTTCAGATTTTCATTATTTAATGTCTTGCTGTGTAGCTCTGTCTGCTCACTGTACATCATTGCTAATTTTTAGCTGGTGTGCATTGGAAGAGGGGTAGTCTTATACGGCGAGTATATCCCAAACTCTATATTTTAACTGGAAAAGTTGGGGGTTGTCTTATACGCCCAGTCGTCTTATACGCCGGAAAATACGGGTAAATACAGTTTGACCTTTCAGCTGTTTAGTAGACATTAACTCACTTCCATACTGCACTGCCGATCTGAGAGGAACCTGGTCGGGCTGTAATAAAAAAAAAAATAATAATAATTAAAATAATAATAATTAAAATAAATAAATAATAATATTTTAAAACATACATATATATAAATGAAATTAACATGTATGCCCATATCTGTTCTCAGACCACTAGGTGGCACTTGAACACAACATTAGTTTACTTTCACATTACATTTTAGAAATGTAGTAGTAGAAAGACTTCAGTAAAGTATCTCAAACATGCATCATTGAGCTCGACAGGAAATGTTAAAGAATATAGACATTTGTATGTGTGTGTGTCATTATATCTTAATGCTAATGGCCATATTTCCATGGACTTTAATGGAGGAATTGGTATTCGGCTAAGAGAACCCAGACAATTTTTTGAATTCAAATTAAAAAATTAAGCCTCATAACATATAAAGTAGAATTATTGGTTTATTTATTTAGGGCTAGTTATTAATCAGTCTAAGCTGAATATTAATCAGATTTTTTTTTTTTATTCTTTATTTTTGTGTGCAAAATAGAACAAACACTAGTACTGAGACATTTCAGAGAGTATGCTATAAGAGATAACATAAGTGTAACAATAAATGTCAATAGGTCTGCACATTTTTAAATATGGAAAACACAAGTCAGAGTAATGTCTGAGCGTAAACTAAACAGATTGGGTTAAATAGTATTAAGCAACTTCGCTAGATACACCACATAGTATTAAAGATCAGACTAGTCATGTAGCTAAAAACAATTAGATTTATGGTCCCCAGGAGGCTCCCTTATGGTTATATGTAAAGGAACCACGCAGGGCAATGTAGGAGATGTAAGTAACTAATAGGGTAAGCCTTATAAGGAGGGAGCGGTATATATATAAAGCAAATGACCCATCAGAGTCTGTACAATAGGCTATGAAGGGGCTCAATGCGGGTGGAGATTCACCCGGTCAGCCCACGCCTTGTACAGGCAAAACACAGTCCTCTACAGATGGGGTGTGTACCTTGGGCTAGGTGATCCACTTGGAGACGGATACTTATTTTCAAATTGGAGGTTTCGTGGGCTCATGTGTGCCTGCACAGGTGCTTGCGAGATCCAGGGAACTGACTTCTTGCACTTGTTACCTCTCGTTAATCTTGTAGTCGCCAACCTTCTGATAGGCTCCTGTCGGCCCTGTCTTTCCGGGTGGGCCAGGGTAGGAGATGTTGGGGTGGTCTTCCAGTCATCCTTATAAGGGGGATTCAGTTGTAAGGCTTACTCTTCGTTACTACAGGTTGTAGGCATGCTTTCAGATTGTCCCAGAAAGCTCGAAAGGTCCTGTCGAGCCGGATCTCCATCTCAGACCTCTCACGTCCTGGGCTGAAGGAGAATGCATCCTCCGCCATTTTGAGTGACGAGCTGCTGCTTGAATCATGCTCCTCAAACACTGTCATGCTCTCGCCAGGTTGCGGACCAGGATGACCCCCGCCGGTCCAGAGGGGGACACAACGTGGGCCATGTTTCAGGATTCCAGCTGTGTGTGTCAGCGGGGGAGCGACCGTCTCCCATGCACCGACCAAGCTTGTAGGCCTCATGAGCAGGTCAGGTGAGCATTTCTTTAAACTTTGCTTGTGTGGTATTGTTGTGTGCACTGCAGTGTCACTTCTCGCCAGGTGGCTTTTTTGCATAGTTTAGGTCTTGTTTGTGTTGCGGAATTCCAGTTGTTTTGCCTCATAAAGCAGGAGCTGCCAGAGCTAACGTTCTCTCAGCTCAGCGGTCAGGCCCCGCCCCAATATCAATCGAATTTAATAAAACTAAAGGTGAAATATAAACATATCCGGAGATTTACCCCCATATACATGTGCATATCATAATAATTATGGTTAGATGATCAGGGGCGTTTCTGGAATATTTGTTTATATCTACTATGAAGTTTTACATTTTGATCGTTTATTAAAGCAGTTTTATTCCTTGAAACATATGTTGTCATAGACATGCTTTATTTAACATTCAGGCTCCTCCTCACTTTTTAAATAAGACATCCCAGAGTATTTTGTCAAGAACCTGCACATGTTCAAAATTTATTTTCTGCAAGATGAAGCTGTGGTTGACTTTATTGCTGCTTATCTGTGCGACAGGTAAAAGGGACAGAATGATTTATTTTCTTAACTTGTTAATTGGGAATAATGTACACAGTAGCAGTGTATTAAATGAAATATGCAGATTGGATGTGCTTATTCAGTCAACTAAATTTATGTGTTTCTACATGACATACAAGAGATTAATTTACATTAGCTACAAGTAAGTTAATGGTGTTAGATTGTGTTTACCTATTTCATGACATTATTTATTGTTATTTTCAGGTTTCTCCAGCTCAGACAAAGTCACCCAGACCCAAAGCGAAATAATTGCTGCAGAGGGAAGTCTGGCTCCATTTTACTGTAAATATGAAACACAATATAGCAACCCAGATCTTTTCTGGTACGTGCATCAGCCAGGCAAGGCCCCTCGTTCTATTATTTGGAGAACTGAATACAGCAAGGTAGAACCGGAACCTGGTACCCGGTATGCCTCCAAACTGGATAAAGAAACCACCTCCATCTACCTGAATATTTCTGATGTCACAGTGTCTGACTCTGGGGTGTATTATTGTGCTCTGAGGCCCACAGTGTCTGTGTCTGCAGACTGCACTGTACAAGAAGCTCTGACACACGGCTGAAGCTATTGTGTGTCCCTTCATTGAATAAATAGAGAGACAGTAGTGTCTGTGTATAGAAGTCAAAGAAAGAGCTCTAAAGGAATGCTTGCTATAAAAATTCTCACCTTTCACAGGAGAAAGGCAATAAAAGGAACAGTGGACATTTGGACATGTTTATATTTGAAGGATCAACATGCCAGAATGGTGTATTATCCAAACATGCTGGCATGGTTAACTAATAAATTGAGAAATGCCAGGAATTCAAAGGGAGTTTAAAATTTAAGGCCAAGATAGCCAAACTGAAAACAGAATTGATTTGGAGAATGTTTCTAAATCATCTATTTTTGCCTTTATTATGAAATTCACTTTGAATTCTGAGCAGTTCTCACTGTAGCGAATAACTCTGTCAGTGTTAAATGAATTAAAAATGGTTTTAATTCACTTAACACTGACAGTTTGAGATTTATAATTGAAATGACTGAATTACTTTATATACTGTAAAACATGCACTCATATTGCTCTATCTTTCTATCTATCTATCTATGTATCTATCTATAAACCCTATGACCCATATAAACCTCTTCAACTTGCCTAATATCATGTAGATCAGGGGTGCCCAAAAGGTAATTCCCCAGATGTTGTAGAAATACAACTCCCATGATGCTTTCCATGCCTTTAGAATGCCTTTAGATGACTAAGCATCATGAGAGCTGTAGTTTTAAAATATCTGAGGATTTACCTTTTGTGTGCCCCTGAAGATCCTCTGTGTGCTGCTAAAACAGCTCTAACACATCGATGCATGGACTCTGAATGTGTTGTGTGGTATCTGGCACCAAGATATTAGCAGCAGATCCTTTATGTGCTGTGTCGGATTTGTTTTTACAGCACATTCAATAGATACTTATCAAATTGAAATCTGGGAAATTTGGATGACAGGGCAACACCCTGAACTCTTTGTCATGTTCCTCAAACCATTCCTGAACAATTTTTGCTGTATGAAAGAGTGCATTATCTTGTTGAAAGAGGCGACACCCATCAGGGAACACCTTTGCCATGAAGGGGTGAGCATGGTCTTTAACCATCTCTAGTTAGGTGGTACGTGTTTAATGTGCTGCTTGGCCTTCAAATTCCCCGGTTCTCAATCCGATTAAGCATCTGTGGCATGTGATGTACCAACAATCCAATCCATGGAGGTCCCACCATACAATTTGCAGGACTTAAAGTGTGTACAATAAAATGCCTGCAGGGACAGGCTATATAGAACTGAACCACTACATTAGGCTGTAGTGGTTCTGGTGACTATAGTGTCCCTTTAAAGTATCTGCTACTAATGTCTTGGTGACAGATACCACTGGACATTTTAGATGTCTTGTGTAGTTCATGACCTGCGCATCAGAGCTATTTTGGCATCATGAAGACCTGAACAATATCAGACACATGTTTTTAATGCTCACGTGCATTAGGCTTCCTGTCAAGGCTGCTAGTGTGGTCCAACACGCAGAAACTATGTAAACATATACATACAAAAGAAAAGGAAAATAAAAGGACAGAGCGTAAACCGGACCTTAGAATAGCCGGATTAATACGATAATAGATAGAGAATGGTCAAAGGGAAAGCCGAGGTCAAGGAAGCCAGAAATACTCAAATACCGTTTAAACAAGCCAGAATTCGGAATAACCAGGGAAAAACCAAGATCAGGATACCAGGAACAGGAAACCACGACAGGGCAAGGAACTAGAGTGAATTAGGGTTTTAAATATCCCTCTCTGGTTTCTGATTGCCTTGCCTTGACTGGAGCTGAATTGATGCAGGTGCATCAATATTGGAGCAACGTTATTGAATTGGCATGGTGAGTGTACTCTATTTTTGATGCAAGGATCTAGAGCAGGGGTTCTCAACGTTAGTCCTCAGGACCCCCTACCAGTCCAGGGTTTAGGGATTACCTGGGTGTGTCTAAGGTGTTTAGAAAAAGAAAAAAAAATACCTTAGAGTCTAAGGTGTTTTTTTCCCTTTTTCTAAGCACCTGAGAAAGGTGTTTAATCCCCAAATCCTGGACTGGTAGGGGGTCCTGAGGACTGGGTTGAGAACCCCT